ATAAGCATAATAGAGTATAGTTTCACATATGCTACTAGACTTGTTCATACTCTACCTCTCAGATCTAACGGTTTCAGCCTTGATATTTTATGTGGCACCTCACCCTATCTGAGGTAAATGAAAAAAGTACAAAAAATAAAAAATAGTAAAAACAGGAACAACAAACAAAAATAAAAAGAAAAGAGTTCATGTTACTACAAACACTCATCAGCCCAACCATAATGCACAAGAAGCTTCCCGTGCTGGAAACCACACGCAAGAGGAGTTATAAATGGTGGCTGGAAGTTGGTTATGCATTCTAGGGCATTGCATATAGCCTTACAGGGCCAATTTACTATGTCTAGGATGGGATTTTTTCAATGCCAACTCTCACCTTTCTCTACTCTCTCTCTCTTTCTCTCTCCCCCTCTCTCTGTCCTCACATCCTAATGCCCTCTTATCATATTTAATTTTTCTCTCCTTCCTACTAGACAGAAATTCACAGCTGTATTTGACTGAATGTAGCACCTCTTCGTTCTACTGGTGGCAATCTAACATACAGCCATGGCAGTTTGTTCCTTGGATCCTGAACTAATGTAACCAAGGAAGACATTCCCTTTGGTGATGGGTTACCAGCTTATCTATATTTACACACTGGTAACTCATCTACCAGTTTGCCATGCCAGGTTTGTTGAGCGTCATAAAGTAAATTTGGACGATCCTCCCTTTGCTGATGAGAAGAATACCTGTGGATTACATGATGCAATGAGTTCTCTTTGTTTTGAGAAAGTTATTTATAAATTAAATGAACGACTAAAAAAGAGGGAAATCAGATAATCCCCAATATCAAACAGATAACAAATTGTAACATTTTGAATGACCAAGATCCTTCTTCAAATAAAGCAAGAAAGAAATATACCACAAAATCAATTTCTTATTTTTTCAAGAAAGAAAAAACAAAAACAAAAACAGGACTAATTACACATTATACACATACATATCCCATACATACATAGATAGTCTTACCTTATCGTTACGCTCACAGAGGAACTTCAGCTTCTGTGCCTTCTTGTGCATGAAGACTCCGTCAAGATGTCCAGTCTCACTGACCGGATTTCAATAGCCTTTACCCCCAGCCCATGATCTGCCTGTGCCAATGGCTACAGACGTTGGCATTTCACCCCATTGCAGCATCATGTTCTTTGTTACCTGTGTGAATGGTAACTGGTGAGTTATCTTGAGAAAGCCTGGAATTACTACTGTTTAACAAAAATATGTAAATGAAATAAGAATGGATGAGAACAAGAGAAATGCAATTAAGAAAGAATTTAAAATGAATGTGTTATTTGATATTCAATGTTTTCATTACTCCACATGTTGATGAATATTTAACAAAAAGAAAATCCATGTTGAGACAATGAAAAATGAGTTGGTAAAAAAGGTGTAATGATTTTGTCTGCTGTTTAAAGCTTTTGATGTACATCTAATCTCATCAAACCTAATTGTTGGCTCACCTAAACTTTTGCTAAATTCATTGATTAAAAAATCATGTAAATCTATGTTTCTCCATTTAAGTTACCCATCCTTCAATCTTAACCCTATGATCCGGATGAGGTTACGGTCCCATCATGGAAAAATCTGGGTTGAGGGCCGGGTGATGTGAACAGGCCATCAGACAATATGGCTGCGGACCTGGCGACGTGAACTTGCTGTCATGATCGAGGGTCAGGAGGATAGAAAAGAGTTGCCAGAAGTGCACAAACCTCTTGGAGTGTGATTTGACTCATTTGGCACTTAGAATGGGCTTTAGCAATATTCCCATCGGTAAACGGATGAGGAATACAAGGTGAGTAAGCCATGACTAGAAGAGCACAATTTCCATGCTGTGTACCGTATTTCTGGCCGCTGTGGTGGTGGCGCAGGTTGTATTACAAAAATTTGAAAATTATGAAAAAATGGGATACAAATAACCAAATGTTCTTTTTTTCAGCAGTGAGTTATTTACTACAAAGAGAGATGATATGGATTCTGTGCAAGGAAAATAAGGTATTACGATCTGGATAAAGCATATTAAAAGACATATATGGACATTGGATAATAGCAAAAGAGCTAATAAAGTTTACACAAAATAACTTTGCAAACGGGAGGCACAGCTGTATATTCGGCACCATGATTTCTGTGACGCAACTGGATCCAACAGGTTAATAATAATAAAAAAAGTAATAAAAAATCATTGACTCCTCAAGGATGGTCCTAGGAGTAAGTTAAATATTTCATTTGCTTAATCCTTTCAGTGCTCTAAATACCATGTTAGACTTGCAGGACCTCTCGCCTTCAGTTAGAGTACAGATATGGAGGGGTTAATGTTAAAATTTCCAAAGAAACTGTTGGAAATATATGGTCTCCCTTATCATCTGGGCCAACCTGAAGACTCATTACAAATCCTGATACACTTTTTAGGAGGATACAGGTAAGGATTTATTGTAAACCAGATAGTTTTTTGACTATGGTGACCATATTA